CCGCAACCCCGGCCCCGCCGCTCGGCACTTGGTCAAACGAGGGGCAGCACAAGCCACGGGCGTGTGTCACGGCCCGGGAGAGCCACCGGCAGGGCTGCTCCCCGCGGCTGCTGCGTGTTCGTTGTTCCTCCGGAGAAAGATGACGTGTGTTTAATAGCAGCGCTGCTGTGAAGACAGGCTGGGGTGTTCAGCCTGGAGAAGGGAAGGGTCCCGGGAAACCTTATGGAGCCTTCCAGTGCTTGGAAGGGGCCACAGGAAAGCTGGGGAGGGGCTTTTCATCAGAGAAGGTAGTGACAGGACGAGGGGAAATGGTTTTAAACAGAGAGAGGGGGGATTTAGGTTAGATATGAGGAAGAAATTCTTCACTCTTAAGGGTGGTGAGGAACTGGGATGGGTTGCCCAGCGAGGTTGTTGGTGCCCCATCCCTGGAGGTTTTTAAGGCCGGGTTGGACGAGGTTTTGTGCAACCTGGTCTAGTGGTTCCCTGCTCATGGCAGGGGGGTTGGAACTTGGTGATCTTTGAGGTCCCTTCCAACCTTAATGATTCTGTGATTCTAACATTTGTATGGCAAATCCTGTTTGCAGCACCCTTGAAACGGGGAACCAGGGTCTAAGTGTGGAGGGGGCCGTGAAGCAGCTGCCTCAGACAAAGGAGGCTGTGGCGGTGGGAGGGGTGTCAAGCCAGTGCAGGGAGGTGTTTGTGATGTTGGTTATTAATTTATAAAGTATTTTTACATGCTAATTTTAAAGTAGCACGTTTCAGGAAGCTGAGCTGTCTCTAGAATATCATTTAGCTCCCTTTTCTGTGCAGAACTGGATGTTAAAGCCAGTATCTTGACTCTGTGCGCGCGGGTCAGGTTATCGCACAGCAGGTGGCAGACGCTGTTTTTTGGGACAACAATTGCACCCCAAACCTTTCAGCTTCAGAGGGGAAGGCTGGTGCCAGGGTGGATCGAACCCCAGCAGTCTGTGGGAGCAATTTCTCCTCAGAGCTTTCACACTCACCCCCCGGGGCTGGAACCTGCTGCCCCTCCGTGCAGCGCAGCAGGTGCTGGGCTGGCTGAGCTGCCAGCTGGGCAGCAAAGTCATAGAATCATAGAATCATAGAATCTTAGGGGTTGGAAGGGCCCTCAAAGATCATCTAGTCCAACCCCCCTGCCAGAGCAGGGTCACCT